GGTATTCATTCTTGGATTGAAAACCAGAGCCAGAATACTTATCTAGTGAGAGGTGAAGCTGCTCACCATTGTTCAATACCCTATCGTTTCCCCAAGTTATATCAAAATCTGAGTAGAAATTGGCCATAGAGGCCGCAGCCAAATGACCCCAAATAAGCAGTGTCAAAGCCCAACAAGAAGACAGAGAAGAAGCCATTGGAAAAAGAGGGGAAATGGCGTTTAAGGGGAGAGAAAAAGTGAGTGATGATTGATAATGGTGGAGTGTGGAGAGATTTATAGTGAGGAACTAAAGTTAAGAGGAAGTACCTGGGAAAGTGATTAGGAGCGCGGTGGTCACAGCTGGGCTTTGGATCTTGTTGCCACAAAGTTTAGAGACAAAAAAAAAATGTTAGAGAGAGAAAGAGAGAGGGATAAAGCTTTTAATTTCCGCGGCTCGCAAGTAGGAGACAGCTGTAGTGTGAAGCTTCCAGGCAATAGAGCCTTCCGAGAGGCGCCCCGCCGTCCATTCCACCACCCTTTGTTTAGTTTAGATGATTCTGTTTTTTTCTTTTGAAAAAGTAACTTTAAAATTTGAAGGTACACCTGACCTCTACAGATGGGTCAAAATGTATTATAAAAAACTTTGAGAGCGGCTTTGTGGTGTCTGCACATGTCAGAGGCCCCAGCCAACCCTTCTCCAAAAGTCTCATGCTAACCCTCACCATAAATTAGAGGAAATTTACATCTCAACTCCAAACAATAGGCAGCTCTAAAAGAAGGACCTCGTTTTTATGCGTCCAATCCCAGCATATGTAGAAATGTGAGCCTCATAATATATCTATTTATAAATATAATAAATAAATAAATTTTAAAAATTAAAAATAATAATTTTAATAAAATAAGATTTAGACTGTTAATTTCTACTGTTTTTAGATGGAACACCTCCTTCTATCAATTTTTAATATTGTTGCTTTACACTTTTTGGACCGCATGTGTTGAAATACGTTTCAGCCTGTACCGTATGTATTGAAATATGTTTCAGCCTAAATGAAACAATTTTATGTAAAGGAAACCTCGGCCTTTTAGTCAAAAACAATTGTTTCATGCTTGTTGGACCGCATTTCTACAATATGCGGTCTTGAGATATAAAACATCTATCTTAAAGATGGTTGCAATTAGGTGATCAATTTCTAAACAATTGTAACTAATGGTTCAAATATTTTTTTAACATGATTACTGTTTCTAGTTTTCAAATTTTATTTATTTTTTCATATTCATGATCTTCATGTTAAAGATTATATATTCTATAAAAATTAAGATTAAATTATATTTAAAAAATATATCTATTACGAAGCCCGCATTTCTACAATATGCGGGCTGGTCGCATGCTAACTGTAACCTATAGCAAATTAGTAGTCACAAATATGCCCCGATCTTTTATTTTTTCTCAACAGCCCCCTTTTATATATATATATATATATATATATATATATGGCTCCGCGGCTAGTCATGATGGATATGTTTGGAGTTATACCCAAAATTAAACTTGGAATATATTTCTAGGACTCCTTTTATTTTGTTGGGTGATTATCTCCGATATTTCCCCCTTATCCAACTGTTCATTCTGAATGGAGGGCTAAGATTGTCCCAATCACAATGTCATGTCTCTACACTATTTTATTTTTAATTTTTTTTTCTATAATCTATTTTGACACTAAATTTTGGAGGTCCATTTCTCTATTAAACTCACACTAGTAAAAAATATAAAAAAAAAATAATTTCAAAAAAATAAAATGACCAAAATACCCCTGATAGTTTCAAGGGGTATTTTGGTCATTATATTTTATCTAAAAATTATTTTTTATAGGTGCGCCCCAATGAAAATATGGCACGCACCAAATTTCATATTCATACAATTTGTATAAAACAACTAACAATAAAATACTTTGACACGTCGGATCTAAGATCAAACGGTGAGTAGCTCTCTTGATCAAAATTAGATGACTGGATGGTAGGCGGAGGATATGCTGTAGGAGAAGCATAGAAACATTTCCCTTAAAAAAATTTAAGTCATCAAAAGTACTACAGTATAATATTATTTTAAATATCGCTTCTTATAATAATAATATCACTTTACAAATATAATTGAAAAATGTCAATTTTTTAGGTTTTAAAAATGAATGTGGTTTGCATAAGGTTGAAACCTTAAAACATCAAAGAAAC